CCACAATGGCTGTAAATACTGATTTTAGTCTGAACTTTTCCTAGTTTTTAAAACTCTCTTTAATACACGTACCCAGTTCTAGTTCACCCAATACTCCGTATAATAAACATTCAGTGGAGTGTGATCAAGATAGTCACCACAATGACTGTCACCTATACACAAAGAGCTCACACTGACATTCATGTCTGTCATACTGGCTCCTCTTCTAATTACACTGTCTTCCTGTCTTTTCCTAATAGACAAATCATATGCAACTCCATGACTACTCAACTCCCACTCAGTTATGAAATCTCCTTCATCAATTACTCTGCTCTACAGAAGTTTCTCTAAACTCAACATATAATTTGACTTCTAAACTGTTGTTTATCTGTTCGTGTTATCTTCCCAACTTTAGGACAGAATGCATTTGTTATTCCTTTGGTATCCACCCTTCACCCTAACCTACTAAATACAGTTGTAAGCACACAGCTGATACTCAATATATGCTTATTAACAGGGTTAATTTTGAGAGGCTGTCTACTCAACTTCCTACCTTCTTTGGACAGGAGGTGAACTACTTCCCACTCCCTAAAGATTTTTGTTTGCTTGGCTGTAAATTTTTTATTTTTAAATCCACATTTATTTTTTCATGGTTTAAGATTTTATTTAACTCACAAAGGAACCAGGCAGATGGTAGATAAAGAAAGTCCCTAAATCAGACACATTAATAGATCAGGAATGTTGAAATGAACAGACATGAGGCAAAACTTCCACTGAACCTCTAACAGGACAGAGTTTTCATGTTCATAGACAAAATTATTCAGTATTGACATTAGTCATCTACAGTTTACACAGCTGTGTACATTCCTTAGAATCAGATAATCCAAGAGGTATTGTCAAGGTGGAATCTAGACTGTGAAGTTTTCTACTGAAGCACATTTTTTTCCCTCATATATACACATTTTTTCATGTATATAAAATATAATGCACATCACCTATGAGATATTAACCATACACTCTCACCTAAATGCTCCCTTCATCAAACTTACTGAAGTAAGTTTGTTGCCACAATTTCCTCCCTTCTCAGTCATCCAACCCACAGTAATCTTGTTTCAAAACACCTATACTGCTACATCTATTTAGTCTGATCATATCCATTCCCTACTATTGCAATTTTCCTGACTATGGAATACTAGCTGAACATGTCTTAAAAACTCAAGGAATGTCTGAAGAAAATCAGATAATGTAGATAAAAGTCTAATTGCTAGACTGACTGCAGATACCTTGTACAGTAAATGAAGGCAAAGATTAATTTCTTTTATACAGCTAAATGTTAGCTTTAATTTTCCAGCTACACACATCAGAACTCATTTCTGACACTTCTACGCAGTCCAAGAATACAATCAGACAGAACTGCAAAAGAGAAAAGCTAATTCCACTTGGTGACAGAGCACCTAAAGCCTCAATTACCAAGCAAGGAGGAGTCAGCCCTGGCTAAGGAGTGGAAACAGAAAGCCAGCCCAATGTCACTCCAAGGACTGTGGGGATCCAGACAACTCAGCATTCTGGGCTCAGTGCCTACCCAGCCCTGATTCAAGCGGGTCTCGGTTTGTGGAACATTCAGTCCACATGGGCTCGACTGGAGCTATAACTTACAGATGTTCCAACCACCCTATTTCCCGTGCACCCCAGGGAACGTGCCTCCTCAAGGGCTACAGCACCAAGGTCCCTAGTGCCTGGGGCTGCCTACCCACCATGCCCCCAACCTGCTCCATCCTGCCTTCCCTCCCTGCCTCCAACAGGCCTCTCACAGAACTCCTCCGGGGGTCCCGTTCCATCCTATTCAGGCAGCAGGCTCAGCAGGGTAAGTTCCCTGTGGAAAGCAGCCGAGGGTGGAGAGTATAGCTCAAGTCCCTGGGGAGGTTCCAGGTTCAATCCCCAGTAGCTCTTCTAAAAATAAATAAACCTAATTATCTCCCCACCCCAAAAAGAGAAGGCAGCCAAGTGGCATCCCTGGACAACCCTTGCCAGGAGCTGGGCAAGCCAAAGTCCCAGGAGGCTGGGACAACTAGCCGCAGGAGCCCTGGGCTGCGAACCCCTGGCTTCTGTTCCAGGCCTGTGCACACCAATCAGAGCCCCTAAATCCACATGGTTTTGAACGTGGCAAAACCGTGGCCGCTCAATAGCATATAACAACCTTAACTATTGTCATAGTGGTCTAGCCCTTGTGCTGTAGCTTAATCCTTAGTTATATAGCTCAATCTTAGTTTCTCTTAGGAAAAGAGAGAATAAATCTAACAAGCATATTTATGCACAAATAGGCTCTATTCCTGTACCTTCATAGAAATACACCAAGAAAACACCTAATTATAGTTTGGGGAAAATGTGGAACAAGCCCTACCAAACTGCCTATTTACTGATTGACTATTGTAGGACACAAGTCATTGACACAAGACAAAAAACACATAGCATGTATGATATCGATATCACACTGATTTCTACTACCTTGAAGAGTCTTCCCTAATGATTACTAAAAATCTAAGCACATGAATTAAAATAACCTACTGGTAGAACACCAAACTGAAACTCCCAAGAAACAACTAGTCATGCAATGGAGCGATTTTAATCATTCAAACTTTTAGAAAGGTAAGTTATAACAAATCCTAATGAGAATAATAAAAATGCAATGTTATTTTCTGTTTAAATTATTAGCAAAGGTATTTCATTTGTTACTATTAAAGCTATTTAATGCATCTATGCTGAATATAATTTGGAAGGTAAGAGGTTAAAGATTTTTACCATTTCTAACATATACACAAATTCATAAATTGACATTTCTTCCATTATGTGAAAAAAAAATACTAGTCAACTTATCTGAGACACTAAGGATTCTACAGAGGGTAATTATCTGTTGTTTTCAATTAGAGATAGATATATGTATAGTTATATACACTGAATAGGTACACATTCACACATACACACTTGTGAGGCAATTATACCATTAACTATTTCAGGCTACTCTACCTTGTTAATATTGTAGAATACAAGTGTCCTTTATGCATTTGTGTTAAAAATACCTTCTAGTGGAAGGAAATCACCAGAAAAACAAGTAAGAGAAATAGTCAACAGTTAAAAGTGACTGTGTAAGGATTGGGACAGCAGGAAGGGAGATGTAGAGGCAACAGACTGATGCTGGTCACTACAGCCTTTCCACTGTACATACCATTTGGTTAAAGAATGTAAAATTATTTAAAAAATACCTTCATATAAGCAAATTCTTTCATGGCAGACAGACGAGATAAATAGAGCCAAGACATGCTGTGCCTGTGTTTATGGTAATCACGCTTGTTTTTCAGATTTCGAAAAGAGGTTCTTCCCAGTCTGTGAAGCTTTAAAGCAAATTGCTGCCCTTCTTCATTTGCAACAATGTAAATATCTAGAGCCAAAATTTTAAAAGGGACACTATTATACATTTATTCCAGTAAATTGAAACAATTCTAATTTTCTAACTTTGATTTTATTTGTATCAAATTTTATCTTTCCTAATAATCAGAATACTTACAATTCAGTATAATTATTTTAATTACAATCCAAAATGATGACATATATTAATGTCTACTACAAGAGAAAACAGGGATGCAATGTGTCTAAGGTTATTGCATTCAAAGATTCTCAATACTCAATTCAAGTTAGTGGGAGAACATCTAATTGTTGCTTAGTGTCCTACATGTTTGAGAAGTGATTAATGTCTTCCTTTTCGACAAGGAGAAGTTCAGTTCTTAAACTGCTTCAATGAAAAAATACTCGGTGTTAGAATATAATCCTATAATAAGAATAGAGCAGACTTTCTCATAAATATTCTAACTATCAAAGCAAGTTATTTGTAATAGTGACATTTAGAATATGACCTAATTACTTATGAGAAATTTCAATAATAACATTCCTATTGAGAAACAGCCTATCTCACACTGGTGGGATTACGCTTTGGCACAAACTTTTTGGAGGGAAATGTGGTAATATCAAAATTTTAAATGTGTATAACTTTAGCTCTAGTAATTTAATTTCTGGGAATGTAACACTCTGCAACTATGAGAAAGACAACTCTGCTGATATGAAAGGTCAGGGATGCATCAAGTCGAAAAAAGTCAAGGTATAGAATTTTAAGTACTGTCTGCTTTCACCTATGATTAAAATGACATGGGAATGTATATACATACGCCTTCAGTACATTATATACTTGTATTTACATAGACTATTTCTAAAATATGTAAGAAATGAATAAATAGTAATGGCTTTGGAAAATAATAAGAGGAGACTGAGACCTGGGTTAGGAGTTAAGAATCACTTCTTATTGTATCCTCTTTTCTACTTTATCATTTTGCATGTAATGAAGTTCTTAAAAATTAAAAAAGGAACTTTTTAAAATTAAAAAAAGTGGACAAAAAAATCAAGAGGAAGTGTATCTCAAAAGAGGTGTTTTATTACCTCTTTGCACATTTTATACACACACACTCCTGTATTTAGGCCTCTAATGTTACTTATCAAATACATACCATAATCTGGATGTTAATATAGTAGACATACAAACCATGTGCAATACCACAACAACGTCCTTTGGGATAGGTTTCCCAATAGTTTATTTTACTTCTAATTTTAACTTTGCTTTCTCAGTTTAAATAAAGTATCTATACAGGATAAACTACATAGGATAAAAAAGTGTGTAAGAGGGCATGGCATAAAGAAAATCATTCCCTGTCCTTTATTTTTACCACACATAGAAAACAAATACAAAAGTATTTGTTTAATGCTATTTTAGAATTTTTTTCCTGTATTCTACACATACCTAGCTTTGTCTTTTTGATCATACTGCTGTGATAGAAAAATGTGGTTTGTAGTACTTCCTTGTGTTACTTACTTTAATTATTATATGTGTCTGATTTATCAGATATTAAAATAAGAGCAAATAAAATATTTGCCAAAGATTTCATTTACTAGAGAAAAACTAATTCTTGCTATAACTTAACTTCTAGTGACAGACTTATGAAAAAACAACAATCTACTAAACAGAGGGTAATTTAATAATCTGTGCTGCTTCCAACCAACTTTCCAATTTACTGTTTAGTTAGAAAAATAGAAAAATTAAAAGACGAATCCTTTCTCAAGGGTAAATATAAACTAAAGCAAAGAAAATGCATTCAATAGTACTATGAGCACTTACCGGATTCTTTGCCAACACCCATCTGGTTTCCAACAGACTCAACCACCTGTCTAGAAGAAAGTGTTTTCAAAGCTAGGTAATCATAGCCTGCATTTGTCAATCGATAGCCCTGGACAGCTAGACAAAATCAAATGAGAAAGATCATATTTTAGTTACACTGTACCATCAAGTCATATCAAGTCAAGTCATAAGAATTTAAACATGGGCAGTCTTAGCTGGAAAGACACTGGCTACCCAGTCTTATGAGTTTGGCATTTCTTGCTATTTTTATTTCTTTCCTAGAGCAGTGTTACTTCAAGTGTAACTCATAGACTGACACCAGTCTATAAATGTTTGTTACTAGTCTGTGACAAGATACATGAACTGAAATGAAGTGGTTAAGTTCAAAACTTTATATAACAATCTAAGTTATTTTATGCCTTCAACCCTGATAAGGAGGAATTTGTGCCTGTATTTTGCCCCTTTTTAGTAATTATTTTTATTGTTATTTTATGAATGTATGTATCTGTTGTAAGTGAAAAACGGGAAATTCATCCCTCACCACAGACAGTTTGATAGGTAATGTGCCAGAGTCCTGTGGCAGACTGTATTTTCCAAAGATAGTAGTAACAATGGTTCCATCTACTTGCTCTTGTTAATCCCCTATCAGGAGGTAGAAACTATTTTCTAGCCTCTGTGATCTGGGTGGGTCCTGTAACTGCTCATAGTAGAAGTGTTCTCAGTTCTAGGTCTAGTGCTTTCCTAGTCTGGCAGTTTCTATTTGCCTTTCAGAATACCTGTTCTGGGGAAGCCAGTTACATGGAAAATCACAAATGGTGCCTCAAATACTTACTTTTGGTTCGCTCCCAAGCTATGAGTTTGTGTTTCACTAATTCTCTTAAAACTTTGTTACAACCACCATGTTTAAGGCTGGCTATAGAAGCAACCAAACTGCAGGGAACGATTTCATGGTTCTTCATGCCCATTTCAACCTGAAATTGAAGAAATCAACACGTAATCATAATCAACACAGAGCCACTGTCTACCAAAACCTTGTTGAAAACGTAAACATCTCCTCCAAACTTCTTTGACCATGCAGTTACCCAACCAATTCTGAGACACAATTATTACCTTCTCTGGACATATTTTTAATCACAATTTGGTATACAATCACTGATATTAATATTCTCTCTCTCTCTCTACTACTATATTATATGCACTTCAAGAGTATTAATTGTGAGTGCTTAAAAGCTACAGGTATTCCAGATATTTATTAAGAAGGTATTTAATGAGAAAGTGCCATATGGAGGCACTGTGAAGGATTAAAAAAAATGAAAATACTCTGGAGAATGTATTATCTAATTGTGGGAGTAAGTATACACATCTAACTCTGTTACAAGGTAAGAAATGGTTAAGTGTTTAAAAAGAGGCGGCTTGGGGCAGAAAACCCACACTGCTAGCTGAGGGAATCAGTTTCAAGGAAGAAGCAGCACTTCAGATTGACTTTGAGAAATGCAGGAATATAGAAAAAGCAGACAAGATCTACCAGAGAAAGACAAAAATTTTGGAAAATGCTACTGAGTAAGAGATGGAAGGACCTGAAACGTAGACCAAGGAGTTTTAGATTTTTATACTGAGGAGAGTGGGAAACTCACGAAGATGTTTAGGCAAGGGAGATACATAAACTGAGCTGTTTTAAGGACATTAATCCAGCAGGAATACGCAAAGTGGTTTAGAGAAGGCAAAAACTGGAGGCAGTGTATTGAAGAACTAAGACAACTGTTCAGGCCAGAACAGGGAAGAAGTAATGGTAATGGAAGGAAAGAATTAAGGATCTTTAGAAATTAGTATGGAAGGGACTGGCGTTGGATGTAGGAGGGTAAAGGGAATGAAGAATCAAAGTTCAAGTAAAAAGAAAGAATAGGTTTTAAGATAACAATAAGATATAATAATAACAAGAAGATATAATAACAATATTTTAAAATAATAATAGTATTCATTATCATTATTTTAATGGAGTTTGGGAAAGGAGTGAGTGGGGAGACAAAGTTGATAAATTTGACTTGAGCACACTGTGTGTGAGGTATTGGAAGGTCCTTCATGGACGGTACATCAAATGAAGATGTTTAAGGAAAACTGGCAAGGCTAATCTATAACTTAGGAATGCAGCCATAACTACAGGGAAAAAGCTGTCAATTATTTGATAGAGATAAGAGATAAAGCAGTGAAATGGATGTGATCAGCAAGTGAGAGATAACGGAAGAAAAAGGAGGGATGAGGGACAGAATTTGAGGGAAGTTCACACTGAAAGGTAAGAGCAGCCAAATTATGATTACTGACGTGTAGGCACCAGAGAAGTAAAGGGAAGAGGGTCAAGCAAAGGTGGCCACTGATATCAAAGCTGGTGAGACTCAACTGAGACTGAAATATTTAATAAGTAGGTCATTCCTCAGTGAACTTCAAAAATAACAAGTATTGCAGAAATAAAATTTTGGAAGATAAATCTGGCATCGTTTTAATCTTGCAACCCAAACCTCACACTTTAAACTTAATTTATCTTCCATGCTTTGTTCTGTCTCTCCCAGTCTCTAACATTCTTTTGACTCCCCTATTTGTTAGAGCATTAAGGAATGAGTGAATGTGCTGAGGAAGCAGAGAAGGAATGTATCTTTCAGAAGTGACAGTTGGTATTTAGAGAAAGTTCAGCTGAATTTAAGAATCCATAGGAGGATGGGGAAAAAAAAGTGTCTTCCAAATTTTACACTGAATTTGCTTCTGATGGTTTAGTCCTTAAGTATAGCCTATTTAAGCAAAAGATAATAACTCCTAAATAAATTTGTTTTATTCTGCAAATGCGTTATCTATGTGTTAATCTTTGTGCTTTAAAAAGACTAAGATCATAAAAACAGTTTTTGTCACTTTCCTGCTTAAAAACATTCAGTGGTTCCCATATACTTAGAATATATTACAAATTCTTTACCAAGCCTGCATGGTTCTATTATCTATGGCACATGATCTGGTTCTCACCTTTTCCAGTAACAACTCCAACTATTCAGCCTCTTGCTCACTAAGCTTCAGCCCCAATGGCTTTCATTCTTCAAAAACTGTTCCTATCTCAGGGCCTTTGCACTTACCACTGCAGTTTCCTCTGCCTCCAATTCTTTCCAAGGATTTAACTGGGCTGGCAATCCCCATTCAGTTATTATCCCCGCTCTCCATACTTTCTTTTACTTAACAAATATTTATTCAATACCTACCAAGTGCCAGCAACTTTTTAAAAAGGCTTTAAAACTTTGGTTACAAAAATCAACAGACAAGATTCTTGCACTCAGTCTTTTCTAACTATACAATTGTAAATGGTATTCACACCACCTGCCCCAACGATGCACATAGTTTCTATTTCGTTATTCTCTTTATCATTTTCACAACACATTATCTGATATTATCCTTCTTATTTATCGTTTACTTCATGATAATTTGCCTGCCAAGATGTCGTCTTTCCTGTATCCGTTAAATTCTTTAAAACTGTTACTAAAAACTCGACATACATGTATTGACTGAATAAAACTGTAGGAATGTTATGTGACTGACTCTCAGTGAGTAGGGAACTCACTGCTGTCAATTCTCTTCAGGAGTCTTAAACCCTTCTCAGCTGATTCGAACCCCAGGGTCAGAGAAGCTTCCCAGGCCACAGAGATTCGAGCGTGACCCCGGAGAAGGGGAGCAGAAAAAAAGGAAATGATTAGAATAGAGATTTTTGCTCTATCTGTGGAGAGATAAAAGCTTCCGAACAAAGGCTTTTGAAAAATCCGCCTCTCCGGTCCTCTTTCCCTTATTCCCAACCTCGGCTGCGTTCCAAGGCCTGGAGCGCGCTCAGCCCCCAGCAAACGGAGGAACAGGAAGAGGCCGCGCGGTGGAAAAGGACAGGGTATAAGGGGAAATGGTGAACCTCTTACCGCGGTGAGGACCCTGAAGTCATCCCGGCTCATGTAACGCAACTTGGCCACATTCACCTTCCCCATGGCGGACGCAGACCCAGGCCGGAAGGCTGCTGTACTAGACGAGAAAAGCACAGGGAAATCCGCACTCCGCGTCTCACGCGCCTCACAACTGCCGGGCGGCTCGCGCATGCGTGGCTTATACTACAGGTCCTTGCTACTAAAAAGGACCATATTCACCGACATGGGGCAATAAAACGTTTTCTAGGTATTATGAAGGAAAAAGTATGGAACAAAGCAGAGCACTTTTTAAATAAAGTGATTCTGTCATGTGAACGAGCCGGCGGACAGTAAATGGTCTCTACTTTATGCCATTTATTTTTCATATCTGTCAGGACCTGCTGCCCAAAGGACGCGACCCGGCTCTCAAAGAAGGGTGGTAATTTAATGGGAGGAGAGGTTTTTTTTCTAAACAGCAACTCCTACTTTAGGCTAAGTGATTCCATCGAGAGAGGGGAAAATGAACCTGACCGGACTGCAGACCAACAAGGCGCTTAAAGATAACGTAACCACACAAGTAGTCCCTCTTCTACCTGCGCTTTCTCCGGACAGGGACAAGCGTGGTTAAAGGGAACTCTCCTGCGCCTGCTCAGTACTCAGTTTCGGTTGGTCCGCGAGGCTCTGGAGTGCGCATGCGCATAGTAGGGGTGGGGATAGGGGTGACGTGTGAAGACAACCCTGTAGTCTTCGCTTCTCCCGCGCATTTCCAGGAAAAGTGGAAATTTTGATGGTTCGGAGCGGACCTATGCGGGTTGGATGTGGGAGACCCGACTTAATGGCTTTAAGAGAGCTACCCACACGGGCTTTGGGCCTCATCCTCACGTCAACAAAAATGTAACCGGAGCGGTATGGTAAACAGCTTGCACCCTGACAAAAAGGATGCATACTCTACTATACCTTACCTACAACAGCAAGGATAACAAAACTTGTATGGTAATGTCTGCATTTATATCTCGTTTCCTGAACTATATTTTAAACTTTTAAAAGGCAATTATTTTGGTTCACCCCTCACGTGAGGTGCGGGTGCTACATATGGTCGCGGAGGATTGTGGGACACTTTCCAACCACTACTGTTTATCTGCTCTCGGGGTCTGGTCTTGAAACTTGCGACGTAAACTCTGGAATTTAATATTTACAGAATTGTAACACCGCCTACCCCCCCCCCCCCCGGGTTTCACGGACCCATGTGCTGATTTTGTCACCTCCAAGGCCCTACCGGGTATGTTGTTTGAGGCAAACACACACACAGCTAGCCCTCTCTTAAAGCGCACACTGGAGTTGTAAGGCAGGCAGTTGAATCTATCTTTCCAGCCAGAATAGTTAATATTATGAAATCATAGAATACAGAAAGCAGAACAACCCTTTATCCTCTTGACTCTAAACCTCTGAACCTCTGTCTCCTTTTTTATGTAATGCAGTAAACTTGTATCAACCATGCTCAACTAATGGAAACCTTCATTGAAATGAAAATTTTCTTTCTATAATCCACATAAGAAGACATAAAAATGAAAATTTAAGGAAACCAAATGACTAACTTCTGGAGCAAGCATAAAATTGGAAACACGACTCATTTGGGTGTCTACTCCTAATCCAACACTGTAAGACATTAGTAATCAATTATGGCACCAACCTTAACTTCTCAAGGCTATCCCAGACAACCACCTCTAATTGACTGGGTTTAGCTAGAATTGCTGTCCTGGTTCTGGAGTATTCCCTGGGCTTAGTCACACTGAGACAAAATCTCATGTACTTTCAATATTAATGTATATATTTTTATAAATGTATCTTAATCAGTACCTTGAAGAGTAAAAGTGATTCAAGTACTATTTAGTATTCTGTTCTACTCTATACCATGCTTAATAATTACTAAAACAAAAAATGCACATTATTCTTCATTCACTCATTTACCATTTATCAAACATATATGCCAGAATTTTTTCTGAGTCCTGGGAAAACTCATTCCCAACCTTTAAACGTTCTGGTGGAAGGAGATGAATAAAAAATTAGAGAACAGTATGCAGAGGATTTATCACATAATTATTACTTTTTCCCAGGTCCCCACTCCTATCACACACACACACTCCCACAGCTTGTCCTTACAAGCTGCAGAGTATCTTGACTGTCTAGAGATTGAAGTTCAAACTTCTTAGGCTGGCATTCAAGATTCTCAATAATCTGTATCATTACTTACTTTCAAGTAGCATATACTCTTGCCTACTAATTGAACTACTTTGTTTTTCCCTTCTACATCTCTCTTGATTTTCTGTCTCACTGCCTTTTCCTTCATTTGTAATGCTCAGCTTCCCTTCCCTTTTTCTTTCTTTTTTTTCTCCTTCCATTCACTCTATATGTACATCCTACCTACTATTATTAAAATGCTCCACACCCCATAAAGCTTTTATTATCCCTGTATTAGTTTCCTAGGGCTCCTTAACAAATTCCCACAATCCTGGTGGCTTAAAGCAATAGAAATTTATTCTTTTATGATTCTGGACCATGCTCCTTTCAGAGTCTCTAAGGGAGAATCTTTTTCTTGCCTCTTCCAGCTTCTGCCAGCATTTGTGACTGCTGGCATTTCTTACCTAATGGTTGCATCACTTCAGTCTCTGCCTCTGTTGTCACATTGACTTCTTCACTTCTGTACATGTCTCCCTCTGTCTGTATCTTACACGTGATTGCATTTAGGACCCACTCAGATTCTTAATCACATCTGCAGTCTTTTGTTTCCACAGAGGATAAATTCATAGGTTCCAGGGATTAGATCATGGATATCTTGGGGGGGGGCGTTATTCAATATATCATAATCCCAAAGAGAAGTAAACTCTCCCTTCCTCTCCCTTCTCTACTCTTCTCTGGTCCTTTATTTTTAATGATTCTGGCTACCTTTTAACCTCCACTGCTAGCCCATAAATTAGATTAACTATAAAAAAATTTGAACAAGGAAAATGAATAAAAACTTTAGAGTCAAAGAAAAGAAAAATGATACATTTTTACTAAAGCTATTATACTAGCTAAAAAATGTGAAAAATTGTGATACACTTCACTGCATATAGGCTATATAGCACTATACATTTAGGTATTAGAGGTATCAATGTTAGGAAAAGACAAAGAATGGAATATATGGATGTATGGAATTTGTTGGAAGTTTCAATGAGAAACTCACGGTGCAGTTTTATAGGATTCTGCGGTGTGGCAGAATATGCAGCAGAGAACTATATACCTTTTGAAAAACAGCTCCTGGTTTGCTACAGAGCTCTGAGAGAGAGGAAGTGCCTGCATTGATATACCAAGTGACATTGTGGTCACAACTGTCCTTCCTGATTTTTGTTGGGTAAGCCATGTTATGAGGTTGGCAAGCTCAGCAACAATCCATCAGAAGGAAAAAAGTGGTACATTGAGGATTGAACAAAAGCAGGACCAGAGGGCATAAAAAACTACGTGAACCAATAGCATGGACTCCCATGTCATCCACTACTGTTAGCCAGGTACCTCGCCCTCAGTTCACACCTCTATGGGCAATCCTTTATGATCAGCTTGTGAAGGAAAAATAAGTGTACTATAGGTTCATGGATGAGTCAGTTTCATATTGTGGTTGAACTGTAGCTGCACTTGGGTGGCCTTGAAAGAGAAGTGATCAGGGAATATTCTCTTTGTGGGCTGAGCCTGGAGAGATACATCTGGTCCTCTACTTTGTGTAGCAACAGAAATGGCTGAAAGTTAGAATATACATGTGTTCAGAGGCAGGAATAAATAGCTTGCTGGTGCGTTGAAGGTCTGGAAAGAAAAACTGTAAATTAGTGGTGGTACTAGGGATGGAGGAGGCTCTGCATGGGTCTGGCAACATGGGCTCCAAATGACAAAGGCTAAAACAGCTAGTGCTGCTCCTGAACATCTAATCCACCTTCAGCAGACACTAATGCTGAGATGCCATCCCTTGAAGAGACTAGTCAGTCACTTGGTGTCAAAGTGATTATATTAGACCCTTCTACCATAGAAGACCAGAGCCAGAGATTCCTACTGACAGTAATAGATATAGAGTATGGGCATGGAGTTGCTTCTCCTGCCTGTGTGCCTCAGCCATCACTAGTATCATGAGTCTTACAGAATGTTTGCTGTGACAGCATGTGGCTGCACTTTAAAGGAGATACAGCAATATGCATATGACCATGGGATCCCTATTCGTATTACATACCACACTATTCAGAAGCTACTGGCATGATAGAATCATTGGAAAGTCTATTGAAGGAACAGTTTGTTGAAAGTGCTAACGTGTCAGTTCAGAGGTAATACCCTATGAGTTTGGGTTGTCATCCTGTATAAGATCAACAACTTTTATATGGTTCCCAATAGGTAGAATACATGGATCTAGAAATCAAGGGGTGGAAATAATACTGTCTCTGTCTCCTGTTATTATCAATAATCCACTTGTGGAATTTACATCTCAGCAACTCTGGGCTCTGAGGCTTAAAAAGTTTTGATTTTCAAAGGGGAAAATTTCTACCAAGGGAAACAGATAAAGTTCAATTGATCAATTAATTATGACTGCTACTGCTCTTCAGACTACTGATTCAAGGAGATATGGCAGGAGAGGGCATAGGGACCTTGGGATGAGGATCTGGATTTTGCCAACAGACTAATCATGGATATTAGCAGGTATGCCAGTTGATGGTGAGAGGAATCTAGAATGGATAGTAAGTGAAGGTAATGATCATTATCACTTACAGCTCAAGACTAGCTGCAATGATGGGGGCTCTAGTTTTCCCCATTTACCTTCCTCTTCTAAGATTCCCCCAGGAAGAGAAGCTAACTGGAATCCTGAAGGAGCTTATCTTTCAGAACTTAAACAAAAGTGGATCCAAGCAACACAAAGGTTGGACTATGGTAGACACTGTGATATACCACCCAGCTAGACTCCTTCAGGAATGAAGGACATACTCCCCACAGCTACCGAAGCACTGCCAGCAGAAAGTTCTGGACTGTCAACCTCTTTTTAGATTGCATAAGCTGAATGGAGCTACCTCACCCAAAGTCACTGGGTTTGTCTGGATCTAGTGACTGACTGACATAGGTGTCTAAAGGCTCAACCTCTTTGCCCCAGCTCAGCATAACTCTGAAGGATCATTCTTTCTT